TGTAGTTCTGGAACAGATTGTCCCACTTCTTCATGCAGTCGTCAGCGTCCTTCGGCCTCCCCGCATTCGCCATCCGCTTTGACATGTCCTCCCACTTCCACTCTTTCGTCTTCATGCGCCCGTAATTGTGAGACAAGCCGGCGAGGTGCATATCTTGCTCCCGCTTGCATCACACGAGGAGCAATTGGTCTTCTGCAGACCAGTACGTCGGAGACTTCCCGGCGTCGTCACTTACGCCACCTCTGCCTCCACGGCCAACGGATCGACCACGGACACCACCTCTGCCGCGTCCTCTCCCCCTCCCAGCCGTCTTCCCCAAAGGCCGAATTGGAACGTCGTCGTCGTCGTCCCCCGCTTCCACGTCTTCCCTCATCCCTTCGTCTGCGTCGTCACCGAATCCAACGTCGTCTTCGCCTCCATCGCTGTGTGCCCGCATGTTCGACACTCCACGTGTTATGTTGTCCACAGTGGGTCGTGGACGTACCGGCGCTCTGCACGTTCCGTTGTCCCTCACTCCGGATTCGATCAGTGTTGTGCACGTTGGCATCAACGAACGTGCACCGCCCATGCGCAGGGGCCCTGCTGCCACCCCGGGGGGTGCGGGCCAGGTCGGTGTCAATCGATCGACATACGGAGCATTCGATCCATGCTGCCGTCCCGCTGGCGATGGCCCGACCGCGCCAGTCACGGGTGCCGCGCGACGAAGTGTGGACTGCTCCATATGCAGACTTCCACCGTGCTCAACGCCACGTGCCGAATGATCTCCGTCGATGATGAACGTACGGCTTGCCTCCCTGCCGCCGCCAGAACACAACCCGAACCTCAGATCAACTCCTCCGTCGTCGTCGTCCCGCAAGCCTTGATGCAGCAATGACGTGAACTCGCCCCCTTCGTCGGGAGCCGACCCGCCTGCTCGCACCGTCTGCGACCACAACTGAGTCGAGCCGCTAGCGAGAGGCAACGTCGAAAGTTCTTCCTTCTCCGGCTCCTCGTCCGACGGGGGCAATGGCGTGTCCCACGACTCCAGATGGGTGTACATGGACGGTTCGTACCGCCTTCGAGGCTCCGCCGTAGAAGATCGAACTCCTCCCTGACCTGCGGCAGCAGCCGGTCGTGCCTCCATGCCCGCCATTAGACGTTCGCCTGCCGCCCGTCTCGTCGAAGCCCTCCTCTTGCGTTGTTGTTTCCACGGCCGCCACAAAAAATACACGTGGAGGAAGACGACAATCAGGAAGACGACGACAGCGAGTGCCAGCAGAGGCAATCTCCTCCGCACGTCAGCTATGAAATTCACCTCTGCAGCCGCCCTCGCACGTGACCACTGCAGATGTGTGTTCCGACATGCCCGGGACAGGGGCGCTCGACCTTCATATGCGGACAACCACCACAGAAGACGACGAACCCGCCCGCCTTCCTTTTGAAATTCGACCGTTGCAGCCCGCGCTGCCCAAAGCGGCTCCGTCTGTCGTCCTGCGCACGTCGACATCCCACTCTGCATCTCGCAAGCGACCCAACGGTCCAGTACGGGCAACCACCCGCGGACGCTCGGCCCTCCGCGCTCCACCCCCTCTGCCAACGGCTACCGTGCGTGGCCGTTGCCCGCGTCGAGCCGCAGAAAACCTCCGATGTCCGACCACCGACTCGACGGACCACTTCTGGACCACCAACGAGTGTCGACGGTGCCATGCGCGCGACGCAACGACTCCGTGAAACGCGGGAATCCTAAATTTTTCAGTAGGTCGGGGGCTACTGGAAAATTTAGGACGATTTTGCCTGGGGAATCCTAAATCTTTTAGGACTCGTCCTAACGCCGTTTTCACATTTTCGATCTACGATTTCGTTTTAGGACTGTGTGCAACGAGGACGCAATCCTAAAAACAGGCATTTTTAGGAGTGTCTAACGAGACCCTTATCCTTGCTCAGGGGCCAAGGTCCACTGAGAGAGAGGAAAACGCATGCATAGATGCGAAGGCCAAAAGGAGAGTCCGAAGAGCACGAGCAAAATACAAGATACATGCATCCTGAGACCACATAGACTCAGAATGAGAGCCAGAAAAGGAAATGGAGTTTGAAAAGAGACACAGACACAAAGCGATCGAACCCTGGTACGCGCAAAAAAATATTGGACATTACTAATTTGCAATGAAAAAGAGTAGTGTGCGATGCTGGCGAGTCCCAGGGGGCCACGCTCCACTGGCCTGCTTTGCCCTCATAGGTGCGGGGCCTGTTTCCTGGCTTTGGTAGTGATGAAACAAGTCCCCTCCAAAGAAAAAAAAAAAAAAAAGAAAGGAACAAGTCCCCTCCCTGCGCACCCCCCCCCCGAATTAAGAATTCGAATTCGAAAAGCAAGGCCAAGTGCTCAGCGTGTATGCTTCCAAAATAGGCATCACAACACCTGCACAGACATAACTGCATGAAAACGCGCAAGAAGGGGAAAAAAAACATTGGGCTGCCTGCCCCTTGTTGGCTGCAATAGATGACACTACTGATGATTTGCAATTGCAGATCTGTTGAAAGAGACTGTGGAATAGTGTCCATTTCCTTTCTACATCAGACTACATGTACATTCGTACAGAATCGTACTTGGCATTTTTTACTCTAGTTTTATTTTGTGTGTGGGATTGTGTGCTCAAGGGGTAAGGCTCGGCCTGAGGTTGAAGGCATGAGGACTGACGACACCCTATTCTAATCTCCTTTGTATGATTCCCATTTCACTCTTTTTTCTTTTCTCTTCGATGAGTTTGATTTGAATTTGTAACCATTTCTTAATGTGTGCCATACTTGCTTAGGGGCTGTCTCTTATACACATCTAGATGTGTATAAGAGACAGGTACTGAGTATGGTGGGAAGTATGTATCGATAATGACAAAGCCCGCGTCCACGAACCCGCAACAATGATTTTCAAGAGGGAAGTAATATTGTCCG